TTAAGGAGCACGTTAACTCAAATTACTCTATCAACTCAATGCAAAAAATCAGCTGAGAGATAGCTGGTATCTCAAAAAACTCGTTAGTCAGGACACTCTTAAGTCAAGGCCCCACTGTAATTGACTAAGCATAGGTTTCCCAGGTTGAAAATTATTTCCCGCTGAATTTCGAAGATATTATACCATTGTTTCTAGTATAGCTAACAATCTAATGCCAACATGATTTTTGAAGGAGTTTGCACTCCTCCATCCCAAGATAGCTCTTAGGATTTCTCTGTATATCTTATTGAACTAAAACTTCCAAGTGATATGTGACCTTTCCCATTGCCCCTAATCATAACTCAGGAGGCCCTTTTTGATTGAAAGTTCACATCTTTCATTCTGGAAATTTTCATTGTACCATTTCTTTAATGTCTTTTCCCCTTGGTTTCTCAGCTCTTTCTGGAATTCTTATTGCTCTTATTGGACCCCCTTCGGATTGATCTTGTGTGTGTGTGTAATACTCTCATATTTTACATATTTTTGCTCCAGGTTTGGGGAGATTTTCTCTAATTTAGCTTGCAATCTCCTATTAAGTATTTCATTTCCTAGGGTTCCTTCCCATTTTCTGATTTTTTTTAACAGCATCATGTTCTTCTTTAGTAAATAAGAACAGTCTTTATAATTAGTTTTGGAAAATTTTTATACAATTTTTCTTGAATTTCCTACATTATATGTTTCCTCTGGGGTCAGTTTTTCTCTACCTATCTTTCATCATACTGTAGGCTTTCTCATATGTTTGGAGATTCTCAGTTGTCAGGCTATTCTGAAAAATGAGACAGGAGAAAGGCCGACTAGAACTCTAAACCATGATTGGAACTGGCTGATTGGCAGGCTTCCATTTAGGGTGAAGAGTCGGAAATCTGATCATTGCTCTAGCAGCGGTTCTCAACCTGTGGGTCGCGACCATCGGAAAACACATATAGCATATCAGATATTTACATTACGATTCATAACAGTAGCAAAATTACAGTTATGAATTAGCAACGAAAATAACTTTATGGTTGGGGGTCACCACAACATGAGGAACTGTATTAAAGGGTCACGGCATTAGGAAGGTTGAGAACCACTGCAAGGCCTCCAACTGCCCAAGTTTCCTCAGAAAGATTCTTCACTGTTTTTAGAAAAGTCCCCTCTGGTCATTTCCTGGTTGGTTGATTAGTTTTGCTTTTGTGTTTGGTTGAACACGTAGTTGCAGGGAATTCTTGGCACCAGAGTTGAGGAGCAGTGATGGAGGGTGACCATTCCATATACAGATCTTCACTGTCTTTGTCTTCTCTTCATTCTAGCAACCTAGAATCCCCAACCTCTGCACGGTTCTACCACATAGGGAGGCTCCCTCATCTTCTCTGACCCTCCAAGCATAACCTGACCACTTGGTGTTCTCCCATGCACTCTGTCTTACAGAAATTCATTGGTTCAGTGGATAGAGCGTCAGCCTGTGGACGAAAGGGTCCTGGGTTCGATTCCGGTCAGGGGCACATGCCTGGGTTGTGGGCTCCATACCCACTAGGGGTTGTGCAGGAGGCAGCCAATTGATGATTTTCATCATTGATGTTTCTTTTTTGTTTTTAATGTAGTTTTATTGATTTCAGAGAGGAAGGGAAAGGGAGAGATAGAAACATCAATGATGAGAATCATTGGTCAGCTGCCTCCTGCACCTCCTTTCCCCCCTACACACACACACACACTGGGGATTGAGCCAGCAATCTGGGCATGTGCCTTTGACCAGAATCGAACCTGAGACCCTTCAGTCTGCAGGCCAACATTCTATCCACTGAGCCAAACCAGCTAGGGCTCATCATTGATAGTTCTCTCTCTCTCTCCCTTCCTCTCTGAACTCAATAAAAATATTTTTTTAAAGAAATTCATTGAAATCACTTATCCTTTTATCTTCTAAACTTTTTGATCTTGTACCTTTTCTATCATTTTAACTGAGTCCTAGGGGGGAGAGGAAATAATTATGTATGCTTAAGTCCCCACCCTAAACCAATAATAGGGGTTATCCCATTTTACATCTGAAAAATGGAGGCTCATGTGATTAAATGACTTGCCTAAGATCACACAGCTAGAAAGAGAAGGGCCAGGATTCAACTTGTATGCTTTTGACTGCCAAACTACTTATTTTTGTCCAAATCATGACTCAGCTAGTATGACCTGAGTGTATACTCAGATGGTATAAATTTATAGTATTATAATACTATGTTTCTATAATACTATAATATTTAAACAGTGTCATTTGTATATAAAAATGACTCAGAGACTGCACAGACTACAAACTGTACAATGTCGCTTTACAAGTTACATATCTAGAATAAAATGAGAAATCATCAAAGTGGTAGCAGTTTTGTATTTTGTGGGTCAGGATGAAGTATACTAGTGCTTGAGGAGAAAAAATTGATAGGAAGGGCTGGATTAGCATTCAGGTAGTGGTGGCAAGGGCTTGGCATACTGAATGCTCTGGACACTATCAAATCCACTTTAGAAGTCACAATTGGGGAGCAATTGCCCCAAAGAGGTGGGGCAGACTCCAGAGTAGTGGAGTGAATGGAAGAGACTCACTAGAAAGGTAGGGGACACCATTCACTTGGATGCCACTTTCTCAAACATCCAATACTTATTAAGCAACTACTGTGTACAGACACTACAATAGGCTCCAGAGATACTTTCTTCTTCAATGAGGGTAATATCCCCAAAAGGTGAGGCTTTCATTCTGGGGGACTTCTAGAAACTAAAATTCCACAATATCACATAGGAACACATCCTATTCACAATGGTTTAATATTTAAAGTATTAGAATTGTTCTAGTTCAACCACAAATATAGTTTGAGGGCTTTTGAGTAGCTCGTTTTTGTCCCATAGATCTTTATTGAGCTTCTACCTAATGGCAGCCACTGGGGTTAGGACCTAGGGGCACGTAGTGCAGAATATAAGATTATTTCTAATGAAGGTTAGCACTTATCCACCAAAGACAAAGCTGAAGCATCTACTTTTCTGTTTCTCAGAGGTGAGGCCAAATTAACTTAACTATGAAATGTAGAGACTGACTCTTAGCAAGAGGCCCAGAACACTGGACTAGATAGATGGTGAATGTGGTATACGCTGGTATTAGGCAACTGTGACATTAGCTTAGACAAATAAATACTGTGGAAGAACATAACTTAACAGAAAATCCTTTTGTTCATAGTGTTTTTCTTGACTCTTCACATTCCTTGTGGATATTTTGGTCTGACACTGTAGAGAAATTCACTGAGGTCTGAAATAAGTGAGTATGTACCCTCTGTCCTCACAGGATGGCAACAAACCTGTGAACTTGGAAAAAGAACAAAGCGTCCTAGTATGATAAACAAAGAAAATGGAAATTAAAAAGTTTGGTTTCCTCTTTTCTGTATCAGCACATACCAGCTGTCAGACACCACTGAATAATCTACTCCTCCTGTTCCTGAAAGGTAGATAGTTATTATTAAAGCATTGCCAAAAGGAAGTATGTTTTAATTTTCAATAATAATGGCAAAAATGAAGCACTAATACAACAAACAGAAGAGAAACTTTAAAAAATACAGTATTTGCATTTGTGATTTTTTTTTGGTCCCATCTAATTCCACGCTCTCCAATGGTCTCCAAAATCTCGCCAGTAGGCTGACATCCTGATAAACACGAAGAGGAAGAAGGAAAACAGGCTAACAGGCAAGGTGGGTGCGGCAGCTGGAGAGGTCATGGGGAACAATAAGGAAAGTGCAGCTACTCAAGTGTATGCAGATAAGGCTTTAGGTTCAAGGGCTGAGATTGCTCTAGCAGAATACACCCTACTGCAGAGTGCCCACGTGGTACCTGATGGCAGACTTCCAATGAAGAGCCCAACCTTTAGGTTCTTTTGTGTAGCCCTCACCTCCAAACAAAGCAAGTAGCAAAACCAGTTCTAACAACAAGCAGCAAAAAGCTTCCTTTCTTTGGGAAAAACCAGTAAAGGCATCTCTCTGTGTCCTCCTCCTGCCAAAGGGCCAGCTTTTTCCTGAAGTTGCCACTGTTAGAGAAGACTTGCAAAGGCTGTGGTGGTAGAGCACAGAGCTTAGTAATTAGTAAAAATGAGTCCATGTTCATCCAACTCTGCAGGAGTGAATTCCCCTCATTGAGCCTCAAATTCTTCATCTGTAAAATGTGACAGGCAGATTGAATCAGAAAATAAAAGTGATTCTAAATTTCTAAAAGACTTTCCTCTTTATTCTATCTTCTAATTAAAAAAGATTAAGCCATAAGAGCATAATCTAGTCCACCTACTTTCCATATACCTGAGAGTAATTCACATACTTTCTGATTATGATAGCAGTATCTTCAGAAACACACACATCCAGTTTCAGACAGCCCCTGGGGTCTTGGCAGCCATGCTGATGCAGGCAGGGTGGTGGACAGCACCCACTGCTCATGCTCCCGCTGATGCTCTTTCAGGACACAATACCTCCCTTTCCAAAATGTTTACTTTTTGCTCAGAACAATGATGGATGTATGGATAGGTCTTCATTTGATTCAGTACCTGAACAATCGGCTTCTTATATTATTTCTCCAAAGCAGAATTAACTCATAATTTTGTGACAAGTCACCAGAACTCTTGGTTGAATAAAAAAAAAAAACATAAGCTATCACCCAACTTTGGCCTGAAAGTTCTTCTGGAATATCCCGCAGTATTACCATGTCCAGATAGCCGACTACACAATAGTCAGAACTGACTTAATTAGCAAAACATGTTCAATAATGCCCCTGTAGGTGTCACATTCTTAAGTATTTATAACAATAAATTAGAAGTCAGAGTTGGGTTAGCAAGTTCACTTTGTTCAAGCCCTTTTTACAGTTGAGACTCCCAAATTTGTTTCAAGTTGGAAACCGTCGAAGAAGTGTTCACAGCATTTCCCACTCACAAATCACCTTCTGTCATCTTTCATATCCACATGAGAGACCAAGCCCTATTTCACTCATTCAAATTTTATTATTGTAGTTATTAGTAATAAACCAATAGAAATAGGATAACAAAGGGAAAAATTCAGGATAACTTCTTCCTTATGAATTACAATGCATGCACACACATGTTACTTCCTGCCTACATTCTGTCCTACTATACAGTTAAACGAAACAATCCACAGAATAACATGAGCAGCTGATAACACGAGCTGGGCAAAGGACACCAGTGTGTAAAGTCCCAGGCTGAGCTTGGACTAGATGACCAGCTTCTCCATGCTGAGTGTACTTGTGGTTTCATCCTCCTCATTTGACCCAAAATATCCGGGGAGGTCTAGCATCCTCTGCTCTGCCTCGGTGAGGCCGAATGATGTGTTGTCATAGAAGGCGAACTCTGGGTGAGCCGGGAAGCTCTGACACCTGTCTTTTCTACATTGAGGAGGGCTCAGAGGGCTCACCCTGTGATAGGTATCTTTGGGAGCAGTGGGTGAAGGCTGCTTCCTTGAGACACTCCTTTGACTGGGGGACGGGCCCCTCCGAGCTCTGGGAGGCTCTGCTCTCTCACCTCCCGCCACCAATCCTGCCTGGCGAAACCCTAGGTCTGGTTTCCTCAGGGGCTGCCTGAAGGTGCAGGATTTAGGGAGAGAGCTTAATGGAGCACTGGTTCCACTTGCTCCTGGGAAATGGTCCCGTTTCTCAGGAAATAAGGCAGCACCTCGACTCTGAGGTCTAAATCTACCTTCGGCCTGGTCCCAGGGCCGCGTCCTCGCACTGTAGGCTGGGGCCTGCCGGGGCGTCAACGTGGACATGCTCCTCTCCCTGAATGGCCGGGCCTGCTTGGTTTCGTGGAAACTGGCCGTCCTCCTGAAATGAAAACTCCTGGGGTGGCTTCTCTCCGAGAGCCCCCCTCGGCTGCCCACGTGCCTCATCTGTGACTTGCGGATTAGGGTCTGGCTGGGGCTTACAGCACAACTGGCCAGAGGGACAGGCACATCCAGCCGGGAGGGAGGCCTCTCCCCGGCGCCCACTGCAGGCTGCTCCAGAAAGGGGGATTTGATCCGGAACTTGGCTGCAGCGTCTTCTGGGCTCTCTGGGTCTAAGGGCAGGTCTGAGGGCAGCGGGGCAGCATCGATGGCGGTGTCTGTCAGGGGACTCTGAGACACGTGGTACCCTTTGGTGGTCTAGGTCAGGCCTTTCTTCTTCATCTCCTTCAACTGCTGCTGGGCAAGCCGGTAGCTAAATAGAGGGGGGATTATCTTCTGGGCGTTGGATTGGAAGCTCTCCCTGCCAGAGGCCTCATCCTCAGGAGTCATTGGCACACTCTGCCTGTAGGTCAGGGGGATGCCCATGTCCCCCGGGCTCCCCGAGGGCCCGTCACCTGCATCCGAGAAGCTCCCACGCTGCTCGCTCAGCTCACAGATGTTCTCCTCGTCGGAGTTCTTCCGGAAGCTTGGGGAGTGGATGGAGTTGTGCCGGGCGGGGGGGCCACACTTCGGGGGACGGCCAAACTTCCTCCACAGCGTGATTAGGACGGTGGCAACGATGATGAACAAGCACAGGGATATCCCAGTGATCGTCACAATGTTGTTGGACTTCACTGGACCCTGGGGCTGAAGAGGAGATGGACTAGATGGCTGGAAAACTACAGGGAAAAAAAAGGAAAAACAAACGTTCTTTAGAATTGTTTTAAGATCTCTGAGTGGCTTGCTCTAATTATGTAGCAGTTAAAGACAAAGTAAACTAACCAAGGACTAGAATTTGTCTTGACTATGTATTTCTGCTGGCAGCCTAAACCAAACTAAAAAACGGAGACCCATAGAAGTGAGGTGACCAGATAAGCCACAATAAAGGTGACTTGGGCTCACAGCTCCTGCTGACAATTGCCTCAAATTTTCTACATAGAAGCAGCATGAGGAAAGTTTTAAGGTAAAATGAAAGTTTTCATCTAAGGTACATGGGAACAGCAACAATTAAGTGTACCTTTGAGATAGGTGTACATCAGGAAATTCTTACCAGTATAAAACTCAAAATGCAAAATAATTTAAGTAGATTGTAAGAGAAATTCATATGTGAATATAAGACTTTTGACAATGTCCCTCAGTTTTCCCTTCTAATATCCAGGAACTGACTTTCCTAAGTGTTAAGCCTCCTCATTCCCACTTGGCCATTTTCAGCTCTCCACTCCCATTCAATACTTCCATGTGGCATTGGATTTTTTCTTCTTCTTCCCTGTTCTCTCAAACTGGTTTGCCCCACAGTCGCCAAAATGCTTCACCAATACTCAGACGCCATCTGAAGCTGCAGCCTGAACTGCCACTGAGATATCTGGGAACCTGAGACCAACTTATGCCACCAGACCTCATCTCTCTTTCCTCCTTGCTCACTGTCCACCATTCAAGTCCTTCCAGTCACTTGTCTGATCTTTTTTCTCAGTCTTATTGTCACCAGCCCTGGACCTGTCCTCCCACTGCTCTCTTCTCCTTCCTATGGTCCCTCTGGGACACCTGACAACCAAGCTCGTCAACATCCAGAATCTTTCCACCGGACAGTCCCTTCACCTCCTGGCCTCACCTGAGGCCCGGATGACCGCAGGGCATAGCTTCTCCTCCACACTCTTGAGGGGAAGCTGGACACCAACTTTAAGCAAACAGGGCCAGCAACAGGTGTGTCCTCCCTCTCCTTTCCAACGGCCACTTCCAACCAATTTGTTCACCTCCATACAGAACTTCTACTCTTTTTATTAGAAGCCATCCACTTAGATGACTCCCCTACTCCTCCCTAAATACTGTAAACGCCCAACCTCACGGCAGCCATCAGTCGCTAGGACCTGGGTCCCCGTCTTCTTCACCATCCCAAGGCTAGGACCATCTGGGTGACTCCAGTGTCCATCCAACATATCACACCTGCCCACTGTCTGTGTTGCTCCTCTTCTGAAGGCTTCCATTTCATAGCCCGCTTTCTGGCTGTATCTCCCTCTCACTCACTGTCACTACACTGGCTGTTCAAGCTCAGTGCAATTTCTGGTTCTGCAACCCCTCCATTTTCTCCCAATCTGCCAGCCACATCCTGGCCTCTCTTCTCTCCCTACAACTCCACTCTCTGACCTCTAATATTGAGTTATACCCCTTTTCCTGCTCTACAGCAAAAGTCCATTCCTAGATAAACTCAGACATGTGAATTCCAGCTGCTGCAGCCAGGCCCTGGTGAAGAAAGTAACTCACTCAGCAAGCCAGTGCCTCCACTTGCTGACAGTACCCGAATCCTTCCATGGATTCCTAAGCAACTCTCTCTTCCAACATCTACAATACTGCTTCAAAGCTTCAACACGTTCTTAACCGCCCCCCCCCACA